ATTTTGGTCAATGACATGAGACAAAGTATATGTGAACTGCTGTATGAAAAGTGAATTTACTCTGTAAATCTTCACCCAAATCCTAATAAAAAAAAAGAAAAAAAAAATAAGGTGACTGGGTTAGGGTCGGGCATGGTAAATGGGGAGTGAAACTAAATGTACACATAACATTGTATGTAAAACCAACTCTTAAAAAAATAGTAATAATAAGGAAATGGAAACAATGAGAGAATTTGCCACTAGAAGACTGCTAAGATAAATACTGAAAACAGTTCTTCAAGCAAGAGGAAAATAATTCCAGAATACTAAACTCAACCCAGCTTCTGGCTGTGTGACTTTCGGAGAATTATGTAATTTCTCTGTTCCTTATATGAAAAATGGGAATAATAAGAGCTCTTCCTACAGTTTTTCTGGAGTTTAAACAAGTAAAAAGACAAGAAGCACTTTACAAATGATCTGGCACTCACCACGTAGTTAACACATGGGAGCTGTTGTTATATGAAGAGATATGGGAGATGGTACAAAGTGGCAATTCCTCCCAACCACTGTCTGATCATGCTCCTAAAGAAGAGGAACCTCAGGAACTCACCTGTCACATCCAAGCAGAAGGAGACCTTCTGGCCTCCAGCTTCACAGCTGTACTCCCCGGAGTCTGCCTTGTTCGCCTGCTGCACCACCAGCCGCCGCTCACGGCCTGTGGCCTCCATGTGCAACTTTGAGCTTGCACTCAGTTTCTTCCCATCCTTGTACCATACCACTTCCGTCTGTGACTGAGCTACCTCACAGCTCAACGTAGCACTGGCCCCTGCCTCAGCCCGCACATCACTCCGTGCCAACTGCTCCTTGGCAAACACCACCTTGGGCTCTGGGAGATAGAGAGAGACACTCAGGGTTAAAAACAGTGAATTACTGGAACTGAATGAGGTCCCTCTATCTCTATCTCAAAGCTATGATGCCTTGGCTACAAGCCTACTTCATTCCTGGATTTCTCAGCACATAGAACTTCATACTCAGACGATGCATGAAGCAGAATCAAGTTAGTTATAAGAATCTGAAGCCTCCCAGTTCAGTTATTTTCAGGTAGGCACATGTCACAATTCATATTCTAACATCTACTCATCAGCTGCAGTACCATAATTATCTAAACAAAGGGAGAAATCATTTGTGGCCTGAACATCAAAGTATAAGTATTTTAAACTGAATTTCTTGTGATGTCAGCAAGAACAGGCAATATCCCTAAGTTACAAGAGCACTGATATAAAAGACTGTTAATGAATACTACAACTTCGAGCAGGCAAATCACCATTGGTGTAATCAACTCCTAAACCTTGGTATAAGGTGTTTTTTCTTAATTTCCTTCTTTTGCTTTGTATCACATTACTTCTAGGAACCATTCAATTCATCTAGATCAAAATTTCTTTTTTCTGAACTATATCTATTGATGATTCTTTCAACAAAGTTTTGTAAATAATAAACTCTTTCGGTCTACTTTCTAAAAATGTCTTTATTTCACTCTCACTTTCTTTTTTACTTTCTACTGTGATTTGGGTAGAATTTTACAAAGCAGATTCATTTTACATTCAACAGTTCATACACATTTTGTTTTATGACACTGATTACATTCCCAGCAGTGTAACAGTTCTCCTCTCACTTCAACCTGTAGTTACTCTTTCCTTGTGTCCTCCTGCCTATGCATTCCTGCCTCTCTACCTTTTACTCTTTCCAAATGCTGTCCTTCTGATCTCCCATGGTTGATTGTTCTAAGGAGTGCTTCTCCCTGGTGTAGTTGTTCTGCTTGTAGCCTGTCTATTGTTTGGCTGAGAGTTAAGCCATGGGACTAAATTCAGTTCCAAGCCTCCAGAAGGTTCCACCAGTCACTATGCAACCAGTAAACCTGCTCTTTTATATGTTTTGTTTTGTGTTTTTCATTTTGTTCCATTTTTTTTTTCTCCCACTCTATCCGGAAGCTCCAATTTTGATCCCTTTCTAAGTGGTTGGCATTGGTAGTCGGGCACCATCATCTAATCCTTCTGGTCTCAGGGTCATATAGGCTGAGGTTCTCATGGTCCATTAGTCTTATGGACTGTTTCCATGCGCCTTTGATTCCCTTCACTTTTCTTTGCTCCAGATGAGGAAAGACCAATAGTTGCACCTTAGTTGGCCACTCCCAAGCTTTTAAGAACCCAGTCACTACTCAAGTAAGATGTAGAACAATATTTTTGTGTACTATGTTGTGCCAGTTGAGCATGATGCCCCTTGTGACCATGGTCCCAAGCCCATAGGCTCAGCAACTCATTTCCTCAAGGTGCTTAGTTGTAACTAATAAGTTATCCTAACTTTGCCCCCTGTTAGCTTTAAATTGCATATGGACATTTTTATAGCACATAAAAATGTTTATGTAGGAATATCATCTCCCACACTATGTATGGTTGTGGGTATATTCCCATTTGCCTATCCATACCTGATCTTCTTGCTTATGTCTCCACCCATGGATTAGTGTTTGCTATTACTGATAATGCAGTATTATATATTCAATAGTATTTACCTTTATTATCTGCACCTCTTGTGCACCTCTCTGTGTCTTCCTTTTCCTTGGTGATGTTTATTGTGCTCGTCACATGCTTTTGGTATATTGCTTTTCCTTTCACCCATATCAACACCTGTTTCTTAACTATCCATCTATTTCCTTCCCTTCTACTCCCCTCCCATCCCTGGTACCAAGAAAGAAAATTTCTATCTCATTTTTGATTAATAGTTGGGCTATATATAGAATTCTAGCTTTGCATTTATATTCCCCTTCATTCATCAAAGATTTTGCCAGTTTTTTCTGTGCTCTTTGATGGTGGTAAAAAAATTGCAGGAAGAATAGCTGTTGTTCCATAATAGCTAATCTCTTTTTTCTGTTTGGTGGTTTTTAAGAGCTCCTCTTGGCTTCTGACCTTCTGCAGTTTCACTATGTTGTGTCTAACTGTGAATTTTTCTTTATACTTCCCAGTATTTCTTTTGAGTCTTGAATTTTAGGATTCACACCTTTTATCATTTCTAAAGATTCTCTGCCACAATCTATTTTGTCATTTTATCTTCCTCATTCTCTATACTTTCTTCTAGAAGTCCATGGTATTTTCAATCACCTTAGCACTTAAGGTATCTGACTGCTAACCAGAAGGCTGGCAAACCCACCAGCCACTCTGTGGAAGAAACACAGGGCAGTCTACTTCCACAAAGATTTAGCACTTCACAAACCCAATGAGGGTCGCTATGAGTCGGAACCAACTCAATGGCAGTGGGTTTGAATTTGGGATTATATGCATGCAAAAGCTGCATAAAGGAAGACCAAAAAAGAACTGATGTGTTTAAATTAAATGTTGATGAGGAATATTAAATATACCATGGACTGCAAGAAGAATAAACAAATCTGTCTTGGAAGAAGTACAGCCAAAATGCTCCTTAGAAGTAAGAATGGCAAGACTTCGTCTCCCATACTGTGGACTTGTTATGAGGAGGGATGAGTCCCTGGAAAAGGACATCATGTTTGGTAAAGTAGAGGCTCAGTGAAAAAGAGGAAGACTCTCAACAAGATGGATTGACACAGTGGCTACAGCAATGAGCTCAAACATATCAACAGTTGTGAGGATGGGACAGGACTGGGCAGTGTTTCATTCTGTTGTCCAGCACCTAACAACAACAACAAGAACATTTTCCTCATTCTTTCTTCTCTCTCCTAGAAGTCCTAGAAGACATCTGTTTGACTTTCTGCTTCTATCATCCTTATCTGTCAATATATCTTATTTTGTACCTCTTCGTGATTCACTCTGTACACTTTATTGGATATATGTCTAAATTCACTAATTATCTCTTCAGCTATTTCTAATCTGCTGTCTATCTGTCCATTTAATTGTTAAGTAAAAATGTAACATTTCTCATTTCAAGAAGTTCCATTTGAAAAAAAAAGGGGGGGGGGACCAGGTTTGCTGATCTGATAGAGCGTGGTGGAACCACTGACACTATGGTCCCTAGCACCCCTTCAGGTTTGGAATTGAACCCACACCTGTGGCTTCCAGCCAAACAAAAGATAGGCATAGGAGTTGAACACGTACCTGAGGTAGATATACTTCTTGGAGAGAACAATCATGGGAGAAAGAAAGGCTGTTTATACACAGGGAGACAGTTCAGGGGGCAGGAGTGCATGGAGGGATGGACACAGGGAAGAGGTGACTATTGGGAGGAAGGGGGAGGGGAGCTGTTGCACTGGGGTAAATTGTAGTCAATGTCATGAGACAATGTGTGTGTGAACTGCTGGATGGAAAGTGAATTTGCTCTGTAAACTTTCACCCAAATCACAATAAAAAAAGGCGGGGGGAGAAGTTCCATTTAGTTCTTCTTCAAATGTTTTTCATAGTATTCTGCTTTTCTCTTATATTTTCAAATCTTCCATATCTCTTTAGTTATTTTAAATATGATTACTTTGTATTCTCCTTCTGATTGTTGTTCTATCATCTGAAGTTCCTAGGAAGTCTAATCCTGATTTTTCTTGTACCTTCTGATTCTCATTTATATTGGATTTGTTCTCTGGTGCTTTGATACAGATGTCATTGTAATTTTATCTGCAGCAAAGTTTGCTTCTTCTATTAATAATTATGTATGGCCTGGGTGGTAAGATTATCCCTCCTGAGCCTTTTACAGCCACTCCTGCTAGATACCCTGGAAGTCTTACTGGCCTAAGGCCCATTTTCAGGTTAAATCTTCAGCCTAGGGGTTCCTATTATTATAAGTTCAAATCCCAACCCATGTGAGGAACATATTTTACCACCTGAGCCAAGGCAGATAGACATGCTTCCTTGTCTTCTCTTTTTGGTGTGGGAAAATTGTTTTTCTGGTCCATCTTTTCTCTAATGATGTTGTTCTACAAGGGTTCCAGCTTTACACAGAGGTTTTTGTTCCACTCCCTCGCCTATCTCAAGCCTACATACTCACTGCCTATTTGAAAGCTGGCAGTATAGGTCAGGCCTCATTCCTGAAACCAAACCCCACCACAGTAACTACAGCATCAATCATCACTTACTGCTTCAGTTTTTCATTCCCTTTTCAACATCTGAAAATTTCCCTTTTTTCCTTGCAAGCTCAGATATTAATTTAGCATTACTTTGTTACATTCTAGCAGACATTTTCAAATATTAGAAATGCGAGGATTTTCACACTATATAAATCCACAGTATTGCTGAAATCCAGACTTGGTGTTTTGGATTATTCTTTCAGGTTTTTGTGTTTTTGTTTTTTTAATGATATGTGTTTTTTGGTAATGGAGAGCATGCTGAAGTCAAAGGAAAAAAAAACTGACGTAATATGGATTCTGATGCATTTATGTGGGACATATATTTCCTAAGTGGTAGGATTGGTGGAAAGAGGCCAGTTTCTTTGGATTCATGTAGTTATACAGATCCCCTCCAAGTGGCAGGATGTACAACTGGGACAGGAGCTTCCCAAGAAATCTGAGAGGCTGAAAATGTTGGTAGGAAATATATGTCCCACAGCTCATGAAAGGGTTAATTTCATCTACTAGAAACCTTCTGTTGGGAATACATCTCTGATTTCCCAGTAAAGAAAACAAAAACATTAAAATTCCCTGAATTGAATTTTTAATCTTTTAAAAAAGACTTCTGTGCCCAAAATACAAATTGTTTTATATTTATGTCTTAAATTTATTTTTCATGAAGGAAAAACTAAAGGATCAATAACACTGTATTTAACTTGTTCATTAGTAGTCTGGTGACCCATACCAGGGCAGGCAGCTGTGATAACAGCAAGGCAGTGGTGAAGACCCCAACAATCTGCACAGGCTCAGGACACAATGGTTGACAATAGACA